TGAAGGCTGTCGATCTTGTCACCAAATTCCAGCTTGAAGAGCCGATTGTCCTCCTGTAGAGACTGGCATTCTCGCTCGGACAGCTGCAATCTGGGTATGAGCCACATGAACTTGTGATAAAAAACAAAAGCTATGGTAGGGGGGGAGGAAAGACCAAATTGAAACCATAAATAAAAGAAAAAAGCTAAATGAGAGATGAAGGGATGAGTGTGGAAACGAGAAGGCGGGCGGGGACAAAAAAACACAAAATCTAACAAAGGACTAAAAAACAACAACGGGCGAGGTGAACCAGGCAGAAGGAGCGTCTCTTTTCCATTTTTTTTTATTCTATTACTACAGTTTACAGTCATTAGATGATAAACATAAAACATCACTTTTATTATCCATAAGTCAAAGCAAATCTCAAGTACAGAGTAAGGTGAAAAGGTCTTGGTGGGTTCTTCGTTACGTTACGCTGCAGCTTTATACAAGTAACCGGGACTCGCGTCGTGGGATACCCTAGGTTATTAGTGCATTCGTCTAGCCCAGCAGTAGGCAACCTTGGTTCTTTGATGACTCACGGACTTCAACTCCCAGAATTCCTGAGCCAGCATGACTGGCTCAGGAATTCTGGGAGTTGAAGTCCGTGAGTCATCAAAGAGCCAAGGTTGCCTACCCCTGGGCTAGCCTCATCCACAACTGTCACATCAGGAGAAGCACGTGAGGGTTCCAGATCAAAGGCAAAAAGTTGCGGGCTGTTTGTTTAGGGTTCCCAGACTATTTCGGGTGCTGCTCAATGAGAAGAAGGGGGCAAAGTATACTATCACAACACAGAAACTGATTTGGGCTACTTGAATCCACCAACCAGGGGGCAAATACTTAGGGCGAAGGCTGCACTGGAGGGTGGTCAGGTAGAATGGACTGTTCTTCCAACAGAAGGACGACGCCTGACTTTCCACTTCTCAAGAATTCAGCCAAGTGGCAACCATCTGCCAGGTAGGACTCAAAAGAGGGGATTCTTAGGAAGTATCCCTGGGTGGAAAACAGAGAGATCCTGTCCCAGGTGGGCCACCTGTACGTTCACACTGGCCTTTTATTAATGGCCAGTTTGCAGCTGCAGAGGAACTTGAGGCATTGGTTAGAGGGATAAAGAGGTGCCCACTGGCTATCAAAGCTCCTACTTTGTCAACTTTTGTCACAAGGGCGAGAGACACCGGTGGGACAAATTCTACCCTACAGAAATTCTGCAGAGAAGATCTTCTCTGCTCCCATTGGAGTCGAGCAGGACTCCTAGGCCCTCGTGAGGACCGTCTCTCTCACACAGTGAGTGAAGAGCAACCTAAGAGTAATTCCCAAATTACTCCTTGCAAAAGTCAGAGGAAAACAGCCTACACAAAAGAGAAGGGAAAGCATCTACTTTTACGGAGCAGAGAGGAGAAAGAGATACAGAAGAACATTGTCTATCTATCTACTGTCTGTTCTCTCCACGTAGCAATTGCTGAAATTCTGAAATTCTAACTTCCTTCAATAGCGTTCACTTATACAAAATTCTTGGATGATGTTTTATGAGTGGTGGTTTCAGTCCTGCCTGTTGGATAAAGCCTGATAGCTGGCAAGGAAAAAACCTCATTTCTCAGGGATGGTTTCATTTTTTCCTGGGAGCAAAGGATGACTTTGAAGGGTATTTTAAATAAATGGGTCTGTGGATTAAAAAATATGAAGCAATCTATTTGTTCTAATTGGCTAGGCACCAACCTAGGCTAATCTTGAAAAGCTTAGCACAGGGGTGTCAAACTCAATTTCATTGAGGGCTGCATCAGCATCGCGGTTGTCCTCGGGGGGGTGTAGGTGTGGGCAGGGTGGGTGCGGCCTACTGGGTGAGTGTGGATGGAGTGGGTGTGGCCTGCTGGGTGGGCGTGGCCAGCTCTACATCATTCATGTCAAGGGTGCCTGTGGGGGCCTGGGCAGGAGTGGACAGATCTGAGGGTCTCTGGCAGAAGGAGTGGAACCGGGGCAAGCGCCAAGGCATGGTCCACTGGAAGAGCCTGCTAAAACCCCTCCCCCGGAGCCCATCAAGCCAGATATGTGAAGTAGGCGAGAGCCATTTGCTGGCCACTTCCAGGCGATGGTCCATTTCTTCATTCCTCACAAAGGGTGACACCTCCCCAGCATGCACCCAGGGGACGGGGCCGACACGGCAGGGGCTGGTTCTTCGCTGTTTCCAGACGGCCTTGTGGAGCTAAGACTGAATGCATTTCAACATAGATGGCCACCACAAAATTGTACATTGGCTCCCGGCCGGCCTGGGCCAGGGCCAAGGCAACGGGGGCCATTCCCTCACTGTTTCCAGGATGGCTTCGCGGGCCACATGAAACATCGCAGGCCGCATCCGGCCCCCGGGCCTTGTGTTTGACATGTCTGGCTTAGCAGATCTGCTTATCACATGGATGGAAAAATACCAGAAGTTATCGGGGTTGTAAGCTTCCAGGTTATAAACATCCCAGAAGGAGTTAAAAGGAAAACTGCTATCCTACTCTCGCCAAAACAGTTGGTCACGATTGCGAAGTCAATTGGAATTGACTTTAACCAGAAGGAAGCAGCATCCACCCTGTTTGGGAAGAGATCATTTCCCTTCTCTTGTGAAAATCTGAGGGCGATTCTCTACCCCTAAATTTCTTGACTGGTGAATAACAGCCAGAAGACACGCCCAGTGGAATGTGGTTTGATGAAAACTCCAATTATAATTCTAGGGCACTCTCACAACATTAACGATGCCCCATTTAAGAGATGGTAATGAAAAGACTAATACTTTTGGACAGGATTTGAACACGCCACCCCCAAATCAATTTTCTTTCCAAGGTTCAGTAAAATGAATGAATCAATAAATCTGACGGATTTATAAGCTATGAAGTGAATCAGATTTTACAGCCATGTGGATTTTAAAATGAAGCTACTATATTTTTTGTTCCCATCTTTTTTTCCCCTGCATTTCCCCATTTTCCTGGACCAAACAAAGGTGATTTATACAGGATGAAACAATTTCAATCTTAACGGGAACTTAGAACACATTTTTATCTCTTCCACACATGCCCATTAAGTAGGGACCTGTCTTAAGGTTTACGCTTCACCAAATCCTCAATCAATACAGCCCAAAGTATTCCCTAGGAATGCTGGAAATGTATCCCCCTACATCTGGAGGGCCCTTGGTTGAAGAACAACTATTTAAGATAGGGGAAAAAAAATAGTGTGGATAGTTTGAGAAATGTTGATTAATTCTCCACACTTTCTTACAACCCCCTTCGATTTCATCAGAATTAGGAAAAGAAAAAAAAAATACACATTGTTAAGTTACAGCATGGCGTTTTAGTAGACTTTCTAAGGCTTAGATGCTCTTTCACTACAACTCCTAGCAAACCTCTTGTTTCATCAAGATCACTCCGAACCGAATGTTAATAGCGGCCAGAGATAGCTTTAAACCAGTGTTTCTCAACCTTGACAATTTTAAGGCATGTGGACTTCAACTCCCAGAATTCCACAGCCAGCATTGCTGGCTGTGGAATTCTGGGAGTTGAAGTCCACATGCCTTAAAATTGTCAAGGTTGAGAAACACTGCTTTAAACAATGGCCAGGTTATTTTTCGCTGTAGCTGCTTTTAGTCAAAGAGTGATCCGCAGTAAAACACTACCAGTTCTGTTTATCCTTTTTATATATGAAAGGGACAATGACTCAGTCTTTTCTAAAAGAGCAAGGGAAGAAGGCAAGACACATGTATTATAAAAGTCCACCAGGAAATGAGAATCACTATATTTTAGGGAGAAAAGGCAGAGGTAGAAGTCAATGCAAAGGGAAAGAAGAAGGGTTTTACCGATTTAAAAAAATAGCTAACAGCTAGAGTTTGCATCCATGTCACCTAAAGGGGGATGAATGAATTATTTCCCCTGCTATGAAAGTGGCCTGCGGTGGCCTGTTAGCTTAGCTTGTCCTCGGATTGCTAAAAAAATTCCGGTTACAGCTTTGAGCAATGAAAATTGGCGTGATTTGCATCATCTGGGGTGGGTGGGTGGGTGTCTTCTGAATATTTCTTAATACCCACCCGCCCACGGCTACGTCAAACAAAAGGATTTTGGTCATTTCAGATGGATCGGCTGATAGCCTTAAAAGGAAATTCTCGGAAAAGAGAGTGGGACAAGGCGATTGTTCTCAACTGCAAGCCGAAGAAAAATGCAAGCAAGAAAGAGTCCAGATGGAGTTGACTCTGTTCTCTGAATTTTCATCCAGCTTCAATTGGGACGATTTTAAGCACAGCATCTGGGGAACGGGACTATCCCCTTAAGGAGGGTGCGTTGCAGCCCCTCAATGCTCATTTTCAATTTACAAAACATCCTGAGCAAGGCTCAGGCAGAAAGGGGTGCAGTGCAGACAAGCCTTTGGTTAATAATGGCCAAATGCTCCTAAAAGCAACTTCTAACCCTGTTGTGGGTCTCTCCTGCTTATGATCAAGTGGAGCCACCACACCTACAAAAATCGTGGTTTCCTACAGGCTTCCAACTTCTCTGCCTCTGTTTTTTTTTTCTTCCCCCCATCTACTTCACAATAGGGAAATCAAGAACTTCTGCTTTTGAATCTGAACGTTTGGGGTGAGGCAGAAATATTGCTACGCTTTTCTATATTATGTTGTAAAAGCTAAAACAAAAATGTGCGGTATACACAATTGCATGTACGTAGCCACAAATCTGATTTTAATTCTATCTTCTTTCTGGAGTACTCACTGATCGAATTGCTCGTATTTTAATAAAGTTTAAGCGTTAACCAGGGAAAGGGGAAGCTAGAAGTTAATTTTTCTGTTCCCGAATAAAACCTTTTTTTTTTAAAAAAAAAAATCCCCATCAAATTCCACGTCGACTTTAGTGACAACATGTAATTCTGACATCTAAATTCTCAATTTTTTTGTTTTGCTCTTCGCTCGTAACAGCGCTGAGATGTCAGAGTTGCGATGTGACCGGCTGCAAAAATTAAAATGTCTAGTGCGGCTTCTGAATTAATTTGTTTGCTGCGCTATTTAAGGTTTTTGCCTGTTTCACCAAATCCTTTTCGCTATAAGGGGGGTGGGAAAAAAAGGAAACAAAAATGATATGTGGAAAATGGGGGATTGGAGCAGAGAAAATACGCAATAAAAGAAAGTACCAGTTAATTGAACAGATATCAGTGGTTATATATTACAGTACTTTAAATAAGCACAGCTTAAATATCATTTAAACTCTTGGAACTTCGCTTCATAAGAACAAGGCACATCAATGCATGCATATCTCAAATAAAGTTACGTCTTTTCAAAATTGAGGAGTGATGTATGTTTTAGACTCCTTTACAGGAGGGCCTTGACTTACAGCCTTTTGCTTAGTGACCATTTGAAGTTATAATAGCAATGAAAAAAGTGACTTATGACCATTTTTCGTGCGCGACTGTGGTGTTCCCAGGATCACGTGATCAAAATTCAGACACTTGGCAACTGGCATGTACTTATGACGGTGGCATTGGCCCGGGGTCATGTGATCGCCTTTTGCAAATTTCTGACAAGCAAAACCAATGGGGGACCCAGGTTCACTTTATAACCGTGTTACTATCTTAAAAACAGCAGTGATTAACAGCAAGAAAAGTTGTAAAACAGGGCAAAACTCAGTGAATAACTTTCTCGCTTAACAACAGAAATCTGGGGCTCAAATGTGGTCGTAAGTCAAGGACTTACCTGAAGTGGCAAATGTTTTCTCGAATTGCTAGCATTTAATTTATTGGGTTCAATTCGAACATCTCATTAAGTCACAATGTGATATGCTAGGTGATCTTAGCATGTCACACAACCCAACCATCATGGATTGTAAATGATGGTTATGGCCTACATTTTTTGGGTTGGTATACAAATCAGTTACAAGATTATACTGTATCCTCTATATTTTCCTTGTAGGATCCAAAATAATATGTGTAAATTTCTTACGTTTCCTTCCCATCCATGCATCGACCTTTTCCAGATTTACTTAGCTTTAAAAGATGACAACTTCATGCATTGTCAGATCATTCTACTGAGTCTGTGCACTGTTCCACTCTCTGTTTATTTCTATTTCTTTTGACACACGTACATTAACCCGATTTTCAATCATTGCAACATCTGATTCAACAGTGTTAAATATTCATTTTTTGAAACTGGATCCTTTTCCAAACATCAGAAAAAAAATTCATGAAGACTTTTTTTAATGTCTTCAGTAATTAAAATATCTATCTGTTAAAATTATAATCGAGTTGGGATCAGATCTTTAATCCCTTTATAGCCCCACTCTCCTTAATGACCGCTGGGTTGCATCAAAAGTAAGCTAATCATACGGCCTACCACAGGATATGATTCCAACTATCGGTTGGAAACCCGATATGGGACTGGGGGCTAAGGCATATAAGGAACGGTTGCTGGAATTGGGTATGTCTAATTTAATGAAGAGAAGGACGAGGGGGGACATGATAGCAGCGTTCCAGTATCTCAGGGGCTGCCCCAAAGAAGAGGGAGTCAAGCTATTCTCCAAAGCGCCTGAAGGCAGGACAAGAAGCTACGGGTGGAAACTAATCAAGGAGAGAAGCAACCTAGAACTAAGGAGAAACTTCCTGACAGTGAGAACAATTAACCAGTGGAACAACCTGCCTCCAGAAGCAGTGAATGCTCCAACACTGGAAATTTTTAAGAAGAGATTGGACAGCCATTTGTCTGAAATGGTATAGGGTTTCCTGCCTAAGCAGGGGGTTGGACTAGATGACCTCCAAGGTCCCTTCCAACTTTACTATTATTATTAATTTTACAGCACATTATATCAACTAGATTTCAGTTTATAAAGAAATGGAGAACGTAAGAGTTACATTCTGACTTTTCCAATTTTACATTAAATTATCAATCTCTGTCGCCAAAACTAACCGTGCACATTAAGATTAAGAGAAATATGTTTGTAATTAATTATTCTGGGGTAGTTAAATGAAGAACTCAGAACTTTACCTTTATTGGCAAGTAATTTTATTCATAGCACGTACCCCCCCCTTTAAATACTGTCATTAAATCAGAACGGCTTAGACTAGTTTAGATTCAGCCTGGATGATGATGTCTGGAGGTGGTTAGATTAAGAGGATTAAGTTTTTTATTAGAACTAGCCTGTGTCTTCAAATTGGTAGACATTGAAAAGCAATGGCTGAAAATGTTAGGAACTGTAATGCTGGTGTATTTGGAAATGCACCGGTAGTCCTCAACGTACGACCAGTTGATAAGTTGGTAACCTAATTGTTAAGTGAATCTGGCTTCCCCATTGACTTTGCTTGTCAGAAGGTCGCAAAAGGGGGATCACGTGACCCCCGGGGACACTGCAACCGTCATAAATGTGAGTCAGTTGCCAAGCCTCTGAATTTTGATCACGTGACCACTGATACGCTGCAATGGCTGTAAGTGTGAAAAACGGTCACATGTCACCTTTTTCAGGGCGGTTGTCATTTCGAACGGTCACTAAACGGTCTGTTGTAAGGCGAGGACTATCTGTATTTAGTTATAGAGTAGCTATATGATATGTACATTAATGTCCTGACTGCCATTCTACTACGGGTTTTGCAAGGGTCTGCAGATGCTTCTTAAATCCCAAGTAAAGAATCAGGATGGAAGCCCTCTTACAGGGCTTGTTCAGTAGCAACACAATTGTTCCCGCTTATGGGTGAATCCCATCCTTGAAACGCGCTGCAGAATTTTTCCTTCTCTGAGAAAAATGAACATATCACATGTGGATTACAAACCTGTAGATGGCAGTAGAGAGCTACAAGAACATCCAGCTCTTTGCTGCCATCTAAAGCTGCTGTGGCTTGTTGCCGATCTCAAATGATCTACGGTACTTACAAGCAGGTGGTGTAACCTTTTGGTGACTTGGAAAAAACTTGGCCTGAAGCTATGTCAGTGCTATTATATAACATGCAGGTGAATATTTCCCAATTTTTTTTTCTGCAACAGACTAATGATGAGAGACTGGTCCTTGCAAGAAACAAGTTTAGGAAACTTAAAAACTTAGAAAACGAGTTTCCTGTAACCCAAGAATGAATGAAAGAATGAATATAAAATCACAATTTTAGCTTGCTTGGATAAACGGGTTTCGAGTTTACCTCTGTTCCAGCAGTTTAATTGTAGCAGCCATTTGACTGGTCTTCTCCTCCAGGCGGCTATTCAATTCACTCTTCTGCTTCATTCCCAGGTCTGAACTCTAAAAGAAAAAAGAGAGCAACAGCTATGCTTACTTATCCTTAAAGATGATGAGGTCACATTTAATATATGAGCAACGATCACCATGTGCAAAATATTTTGCATGCATTTATTTTGCCACTAGCTGTACCCGGCCACCTGTTGCTGTGGCTCAGTCTGGCTAAATGGAAAAGAAAGAAAAGAGAAAGCGCACGTTTCTAACATGTTTAATTTCACAATGCTTGTGGGCATACAATATTTGTTGTTGTTCCATTGTCTGTGCATCAATTCCAACGCAATGTCACATGAAATAATTAAATCAAAATGAAAATAAATCGAAATCTATGAAAATTCAATTTAACAATGCAATCGGAAACATTGAAATGGAATCGTAAAATTGGAAATTTGGAAATCGTAAATGGATCGTAAATCGGAAACATTGAAATGGAATCGTAAAATCGTAGCGTGTGTTGCTTTTACGTCCAACAGATGGCGCTATTTTTCAAAAAAAGCATGTTTTTACCTGTCACAGGTGTGACATCTATATAATGTAGGTATATAAAAACACGCGCATATTCGAATGCAACGTTGTATCAAAATTTCAAAGCAACCGGTGAAGAACATTCGGAGATTTAAGATTTTGAACAAACGAACATTTACATTTTTATTTATATATAGATGCTCTAGGCCAGTGGTGGCGAATCTATGGCACGGGTGCCAGAGGCGGCACTCAGAGCCCTCTCTGTGGGCACGCGCGCCGTCGCCCCAGTCCTAGGCCTTCAGCTGGATTTTATAAAACCTTTTCGCTTTAGGCTTCCGCCACTATGTACAAAAAAAAAGAGGTTCAATCAATCAATTTCAACTTCTCACGGGAAAAAAAAAAGATCTTGCAAAGTTGGAATTGATTGATTGAACTTTTTAGTCCCACCCAGTCTGCTTTTTAGTACCACCGCAGCCACGCCCACCCAATGGGCCACACCCACCCGGCACCCGATGATGCATAAGTGAGTTTTGGGTTGCAGTTTGGGCACTCGGTCTCTAAAAGGTTCGCCATCACTGGGATAACTTTAGAGATTAAAGAGAAAGAAGATTCAGTTTATTTTAAAACGTGGGATAAATTTTACCAATGGTTAGGAAAACGAACTAGTGAGAAATGAATCTGATATGTTATTTTGAATATATATTAGCAAGAAGAATGATACGTATTGACCGATTGATATTGTTTATGATTATTGCTTATCATATTCACTACAGCTATTTACTATTGTATTAATTAATGTTAACTGAGCATATGTACCCGGATAATAGTCTGTTTGCTAAAGCTTGGAAATGTTATTGGGGGGCAATCCTGTCCCAACTCCAACCCCAATCCTAACCCCACCCTGAACCTTAATCCCTATCCTGGTCCTATCCCTTCCCTAATCCCATAAAACTCAATAAAAACTTTTATTAAAAAAAATCGTATTAACCAAGAGAAAAGGGTAAAGAGTCACAGTGTCATGGCAAAGCTTTGTAACTAAGCCATCTTATTCTCCCATGTCCAAAGCTCTATTTTTCTCAAATGAAAGCTAAGACGACAGGCAGGTGCCTTTCAATTAACCCATTCCTATTGATTTACCTGCAGCTTGAAAGAAAGTTCAAGTTTTAGGGCCCTGAGATCATCCAGTTGTTGCCTGAGCACCACAAGCGCATCCTGCTTCTCACAAACGTCCTTTTCCAGCATCTTCATGGCCAGCTCCATCTCTTGTCTCATTCCGATCTGCATTTCAAGCTCTTTTTCCACATCCTAAAGCAGGCAGACACATACAGGCGTTACAGGTGACTGTGGATGCTCGAAAGCCTTGCCCTCCCCTATAAGAAATGGCTAAAACACAAGAAAGGGCAGGACTGAGTGAAGTGTGATTTTTTTTTCCATTCCTTCAGAAGACGGAAGAAGATATTAATTCTGTAGGCTAGCGGTCCCCAAAACTTTTGGCACTAGGGATTGGTTTCATGGGAGACCATTTTTCCACGGGGGTGGGTGGAGATGGTTTTGTGTGCTACCTAATCCCATGCATGCACAAATGAAGTTTCACTCACTTGCGCGGACCGGCTCCTAAGATACCGGTCCACGGCCCAGGAGTTGGGGACCCTTGCTCTATGTTGAGTCTAGGAGAGGGAAAAGGTTAGCTTGCCACAGAGATAACTTGGAGCAGGTCTTTTCCAACCCTAATAATTACAATAGGTATTGTGGAGTGAACATACAGAGGTATGCATATTTAAATCTGAGAAAGTGGGGTCTGGCACATAAAAACCTTCATATCTTAAGGTCTATGGCAGTGACGACAAACCTTTTAGAGACCGAGTGCCCCAAAACCGCCTCGCCCCTGCCCCACCCCTGCCTCTCCTGCCCGCAAGGCCACCCACCGCCTCCACAGCCCGCCACAGCAGATCGCCCAGGTGGCCCAGCAGCATCATGGCGGCCACGCCCTCTGTCCGCGCCCCGCAGCATCATCTGCAGGCGATGAGGCGCGAGGGCGGAGTCTTGTCCTCGCTGCCCGGCTGCCATGTCCTTGGCTGCGCTGCTCCGTGCAGGCTACGCCCTGGGCGACTCTCCTCCGGGGGGCTGCTGGTGAGGAGGGGGCCATGGGGGGTGGGGCTGGGGCGACGGCGCGCGTGCCCACCGAGAGGGCTCTGAGTGCCGCCTCTGGCACCCGTGCCATAGGTTCACCACCACCGGTCTCTGGAGATTCTCAATCCTCCAGATCATGGTTGTCGCAAAGTTGCTTTTCCAAAAGGCAACTGGACTTTCTTGTTGTTGTTTTTCCTTGAAAACATTTCGCTTCTCATCCAAGAAGCTTCTTTGGCTCATGAACGGAAGAAGGTTGTGAAATGAAACGTTTTCAAGAAAATAAAACCCAAGAAAGCACAGCTGCCTTTTGGAAAAGCACCTGTGGGACTTCACCTTTTAATAAATCGGATCATGTTTACAGGCAGTTCACCCTTTCACAAACAGTTCCCACTTTCTCATATATATTTTCTTTGTAAAGGCATTCTGTGTGAGAAAATGACATTCAACCCTTTTCTTTGCCATTAGAACCGTTCTGCACTTTTGGGGTCTGTGTGTGTAGGTGTAGTGGCATATATATCACTTTGTTGCTTTTCCAAAAAGCCCCGAAGACGTAGTTTTATCAGTAGTGGGGGACGGAACCAGCTGTCAGAACTTCAGAATGGGTCTTAAGTACGTTTTCGGGGGTGTGTGTCCATTTTAACTTCGAACAGTCACTTTAAGCCAGACATGTCAAACACAAGGCCTGGGGGCCGAATGCGGCCCGCGAAGTGGTTTCACGTGGCCCGCGAAGCCATCCTGGAAACAGTGAGGGAACGGCCCCCGCTGCCTTGGCCCTGGCCCAGGCCGGCCGGGAGCCCATGTACAATTTTGTGGTGGCCATCTATGCTGAAACGCATTCAGTCTTAGCTCCACAAGGCCGTCCGGAAACAGCGAGGAACCAGCCCCTGTTGTGTCGGCCCCGCCCCCTGGGTGCATGCTGGGGAGGGGTCACCCTTTGTGAGGAATGAAGAAATGGACCATGCCTTGGCGCTTGCCCCGGTCCCACCCCCTTCTGCCAGAGACCCTCAGATCTGTCCCACTCCTGCCCAGGCCCCCACAGGCACCCTTGAAGCGAACGATGTAGAGTTGGCCATGCCCACCCAGTAGGCCACACCCACTCCCTCCACGCCCACCCAGTAGGCTGCACCCACCCTGGCCACACACCCCCGGCTCCCCCCGAGGGCAACCGCAATGCTGATGCGGCCCTCAATGAAATTGAGTTTGATACCCCTGCTTTAAGCAATCCGGTAGGAAAGTGGACACAGTGACTGATTGTAAGGTGAGGACTATCTATATCTATTATGACACCCTTGACTTGGCAGATAACTGAGATCTGGCCAAATTTTTCCCCATTTTCCTGTTCTCCGGGAACATACCAGCATAGAAAGAAACCTACGGTTCTTTTCCTAATAGTTATTTTTCTAATTTTCTGATAACTGCACAAAACATGAAAACCGGAAAATGGAAACTTTGTTCTTTGCGAAGTTGCTGAATTCCAAATTCCAGGATCCTTCTACGCGGACTATGCTAGGATGGATTTACAAGGAGTTGTAATTCTGCCCTAACTTCCCTTCACCTGCTCTCCACCTTACCAGTCTTAACTGGGTTTCCTCTTTTAACTGTTTCCTCGCTTCGGTTAGGGCATGTCCGTCTGAAGTTCGATCCTGCTTATTGACCTGTAATCAATGAAGACATCACTAAGTCAAACAGAATGGAAAGGTTATTAACCGAGATGAAATGGACAGCATATAAATTTAATAAACAAATGAAAAACAAACAAATGACGGAGATTAGTGCTCCCAATTTACTGCAGTCAAGTGAGGATGCTCAATGCAAAACACAAAGAAATGTGAAGATATAATATAATACAAATATAATATAATTGATTTATGACCACGATTGAGCCCAAATCTTCTGTTGCTAAGTGAAACATTCGTTAAATGAGTTTTACCCCATTTTACGACCTTTCTTGCCACAGTTGTTAAGTGAATCACTGCAGTTGTTAAGTAAGTAACACGGCTGTTAAATAAATCTGGCTTCCCCATTGACTTTGCTTGTCAGAAGGTCACAAAAGGGGATCACATGACCCCGTAACACTACAACTGTCATAAATATGAGTCAGTGGCCAAACGTCTGGATTTTGATCACGTGACCGTGGGGAAGGCTACAACAGTTGTAAATGTGAAAAACGGCCGTAAGTCGCTTTTTTCAGTGCCACTGTAACTTTGAACAGTCACTAAACGAACTGCCGTAAGTTGAGAACTACCTCTGATTGAGAATAAAAAAGGTCTTATGAAATGAACCATATTAGAGACGCGTAAGAGAAAATAAGAACCAAGCAGTTCCCCAATGGCTGCATATAACAGACACACAAAACTAACCTTTCGGTTGGATTCCAAAATGTACGAACTCTCCTCTTTGACTCGCTCCATTTCTTCTTGCAGTGTTATAATTCTGTTGTTTGCAACGGCAAGCTGCGTTACACAAGAACACACATGAGAAGACAAATCTACCACGTTGGGGGTTGCGACCTGCAAATTCACCTGCAGCTCTGTATATATTTTTCTTTCTGTCTTTTAATCGCTACTCCATAAAATGTCCAGGTAAGAGACAAATGCCGTCAGCAAAAGTATGTGCAAGAGTGTTTTGTTTTCTTGCAGAACAATAAAAACTTTCCAATTTGGATTCCAGCTCCGTCAGTACTTGTTAGTGTCCCACACTAACAGATGGTTAGGACAGCAGGAAAAAAAAAAAACCAATTGCAACCAGCCTGCCTTCCATTGAGGGCCTGTATACTGCACAATCCAGAAAGAGGGCTGAGAAAATATCTACAGACCCCTCACATCCTGGACATAAACTGTCACAACTCCTCCCCTTGGGACACCGCTATAGGGCATGCCAAAACAACTAGGCACAAAGGTAGCTTCTTCCCCCCCCCCCCCCTTGGCATCACTCTGCTGAACACCGAATTCCCACAGCACTGTCTTAGGCCTAAGGATATCTAACCAAGTAGTAGGATTGTATTGCTATCATCCTTCTCGTTTTTCCTGTTCTCTACTCCTCTTGGTATCTTATGATTTATCACCTTGTTGTTTGTATGTACACTGAGACCTTATGCACCGGACACAAAGTCCTTGTGTGTCCAATTACACTTGGGCCATAAAGAATATTCTTTGCAGAATTCCACAATAGAGTAACTCTCTATTAGACATCTGTGCTCTAGGCCAGATAGATTTCCATCCCATAATGTTAATTCATCTGGCATCTCTTGCATTTGAAATTATTCTGGGATACGTATGAACCAGACTGGGATATTAGCTAATTAGAAGTGATCTAATTAATAATGATGATAATGATAATGATAATGATGATGATGATGATGATGATGATGATGATGATAATAATAATAATAATAATAATAATAATAATAATAATAATAATAATAATAATAATAATAATAATAAAGTTGGAAGGGACCTTGGAGGTCATCAAGTCCAACCCCCTGCTCAGGCAGGAAACCCTATACCATTTCGGATAAATGGCTGTCCAGTTTTTTCTTAAAAACTTCCAGTGTTGGAGCATTCACCGCTTCTGGAGGCAGGTTGTTCCACTGGTTAATTGTTCTCACTGTCAGGAAGTTTCTCCTTAGTTCTAGGTTGCTTCTCTCCTTGGTTAGTTTCCATCCGTTGCTTCTTGTCCTGCCTTCAGGTGCTTTGGAGAATAGCTTGACTCCCTCTTCTTTGTGGCAGCCCCTGAGATACTGGAACACTGCTATCCTGTCCCCCCTCGTCCTTCTCTTCATTAAACTAGACATACCCAATTCCAGAAACCGTTCCTTATATGTTTTAGCCTCCAGACCTCTAATCATCTTTGTTGCTCTTCTCTGTAGTCTTTCTAGAGTCTCAACATCTTTTTTACATCGTGGTGACCAAAACTGGATGCAGTATTCCAAGTGTGGCCTTACCAAGGCATTGTAAAGTAGTATTAATACTTCATGTGATCTTGATTCTATCCCTCTGTTAATGCAGCCTAGGACTGTGAATGTATCCTAATGTCCCTAAAACGTGAATGTTGTTTCTTTTAATTTTATCCTAAGCAGGAAAAAAAACCCTTACATTTCTTTCATTTCTACCTACCTCCTCAGTTAGTTTAGTGTTGGATTTTTCCAAAGCATCAACCTTTGTCTGCAGGTTGTTGACTGTAGCACTGTCCAATTAAAAAAAAAAGACATGTAGTAACGCTATGAAACTTAAGAATTCAATACAAACTGACCAAATTTTCTACAGAAGATTTACCTCTTTACCTTAAATGTCTATTGAGTTCTTCTACGTAGTTTTTCTGATCCAGAATTGCAGTAATTTGACCATCGCTGAAAATGGGACACAGTGAATATTAACCATGCATGGAGAGAAATATTAAGCAGTACTGCAGAGCAAAGCAATATGTTTAGGAAGAAGAATTTGTTTATAGCATTGATGAAAAAGTCAGTAATTAATACAGATTAATTAGAAAAGCAGACGTCAATTTCTTTCTGACATGAGAACAAAATAATGCTCATCAATTCAACTGACAGTTGTTTGAAAATTCATACTACATTAAGCAACCATTAAGATGTTTAGGGTCTACTATGGTCTTGAATTGACATGTACTAAGAACCTAGAATTAAATAATAAATAAATGATTGCCTGAAAAGAATTAGAAGCCATAATGTGAAAAGGCTTGCAAATTACTGTTTGTCATAAATACAGATTTGCATAATGTCTAAACTGACAAGTCAACATTCAGCCTTCAGAGCCATACTATCTGCAGGAAAGGTCAAAAAAGTCAAGATGGTGATTATGAGAAGACATCCTACCCTTTTATATGTGATGAGTAGTACTCCTAGTTGCCATCCTGACTCTTTGACAAACTCACACTTACACACACTTAGACACCCCTGCTCCAGAAGCTGCTGTTCCACAGAGATAAACACGAATCTATAAAAGTGGGCGATGACTTTCAGTTTATTTTTAACTTTTTTAACTTTGGAAAAACAAATAAAAAATGGGTGCTGAAATGACAAAACTGTAAAGCAGACAAGTAACTCTAAGCTAAACCAGCTTTCCTCAACTCAGTTGCCTCTAGAGGTGTTCAGCAACATCACACATAAACCCCAGCCAGGCCCTTTTAGCAAGAAACTGTGTGAATTACGGATTGCTTTCGCTATGGCCTCCACATCTGAAGCCTTGTGAAATGATGGAACAAAAATATGTTATGAAATAGATGGTAATCAGAAAAAACAAGACTTCCTTTTGCATGGTTAGGAGTCACTTTAGATTAAAATTTCATATTTAATTCACTGCTGCACCAAACGGCACCAAGAGGCTTTTTATAAGCCAGATAACTGCTTCTATAGTATATGACAGAAATTCAAACCTATTGCAGCAAGTCCTTACTTAATGACCGTAATTGGAACTGACAACTCTGCCGCGAAGTGACCTCATCATAAATTGAAAAATCACGGGACCGTACTGACTTATGAGAGCAGTTCCAATTGTGCTCATTAAAGACAATATCACATTACCACGACCGATCATAAAATGATGCAGTGCTGTGATTACCCTCGTTGTGCCGCTAGTTGCTAAACACTTGTATTCGTGTGACCAGGGAGACTTGCAATTTTGAGGACCGTTCATGTCTCCTTGCTCATCGCTGACATAAGCTTGAAAGACAGCTGAATTGCTAAGGGCGGACTACCTGTGGATTAACATGTGCCTTCGATTTAGTGCTGATTCTTGGCAAGTCCCTGCAGTTTTCTTGACAACAGCTTCAGAAGTGGTTTGTCCTTGTCAACTTTATCATAGGCCTGAGAGGGTCCATATTCACCCAGGTGGTTTTGTATCTAAGACAGGACTAGAACTCCCAGTGTTCTGGTTTCTAGCTCAGTGTCTTTAACCAGTACACTAAACTGGGTGGTTGCAGCAGGTTTTGGTCACTTCACATGACCCTGGGACACTGTGACCGTCATAAATATGAATCAGTTGCCAAGCGTCTGAATGTAAATCACAAGACCCTAGAGATGCTGCAACATTCCAGCTGATCGGCGCTTCTTCTGGGCTCAGCAGAAACGCCAGGATCAGTGCTGTTTTCCAGCTGATTGGTGCTTCTTCAGGGCTCAGCAGAAGCACCAGGATCAGCACCGAGCTCCAGCTGGAACCTGGCGCTGATCCTGGCGCTTCCACTGAGCCGACAGCCCCAAAGAAGCGCCGATCAGCTGGAAAAATGGTACTAATCCTGGCGCTTCCGCTGAGCCCTGACAGCCCTGCAGCTCCAGCCATCTCTCGCTCAGGCTTGTGCGGTGCTGCCACGGGTTCAGCTCATTCCCCTCCCCCGCTACCACTTTTCTAGGATGGTCGCGTACCACCTGCCAGGTGCCAATGTACCACAGGTGGTACCCGTACCACTGGTTGAAAAGTCCTGACTAAACTGGCTCAGATTAGCATGTTAAAGTTTTCATGACTTCTTTTTCCCTTCACGAACGTTCCACAAGTTCAACAACTTACGACCACGATTGAGCCCCAAATTTTTGTTGTTAAGTGAACTTTGCCCCACTTTACGACCTTTGTTGACACAACTGTAAGGTGAATCACTTCGGTTGTTAAATTAGTCATGCGGTTGTTAAGTGAATCCGGCTTCCCCATTGTCTTTGCTTGTCAGAAGGTCGCAAAAGCTGATCACGTGACCCTGGGCCACTGAAACCGTCATAAATAGGAGTCGGTTGCCGAGCATCCGAATTTTGGTCACGTGACCACGGGGAGCCTGCAACAGTTGTTAAGTGTGGAAAATGGTCATCAGTCACTTTTTTCAGGGCCATTGTAACTTTAAACCGTCTCTAAGGGAACTGTTGTAAGTTGAGGCCTACCTGTAACCCTAGACATCATTACAATAAGATGCTAATATCTGGCATTTCCCACTAGGGTGACAAGAATAAGAAAGAACCAAGCAGTAAAATTGGCAAAATGCTCTTATAACAGAGCTTCAGAGAAGCATCTAAAATACAGATTCTGGATAGGAATCAGAGGACTTACCCTTCACTGCCCTTACTGCTACTGCCATCCTTCAAATACATTGAAAAATCAATAACGCCAACCTACAAGAGAAGACAGCAATAATACTTCATGACCGACACTTGCACTTTTTGTCATTTTACTCCTCTTATACTGTAACATCAACTGATCAACTTATCAAATTATCAAAGGCCTGGAGGCTAAAACATACTAAGAATGGCTGCGGGACTTGGGTTTGGCTAGTCTAAAGAAAAGAAGAAATAGGGGAGACATGATAGCAATCTTCCAGTATCTGAGGGGCTGCCACAAGGCAGAGGGGGCCAGATTGTTCACCAAAGAACCAGAAGGAAGGACGAGAAACAATGATTGGAAGCTGATTAAAGAGAGAAGCAACCTGGAATTAAGGAGAAACTTCCTGACAGTGAGGAAAATCAACCAGTGGAACAGCTTGCCATCAGAAATCGTGGGCACCCCATCACTGGAGATTTTTAAGAAGAGACTAGACGTTCACCTATCTGACACAGTATAGGTTCTCCTGCTTAAGCGGGGGGCTGGACTAGAAGACCTCCAAAGTCCCTTCCAGCTTTATTCTATTCTATTCACCTGTGTGATTCATCTAGGCATTTTCAGCAATCATGGCACAATCATGACTCGCAAGATTGATGTCAGCCCCATTAAGCAGCGAGGCCAAGAAATCAATGCCAGAAAGGCTAAATTTATTTTTTATTGAGATGGGCTATAATCACAAAACGGTCCAGCTCCTCCTCCTTATAGTTCACTGAATTAGATAGGTGTCTGCCTCAGTTGCTTCGTGTTCTGGACTTAAAATATGTTTCTCCCCAGTCACCCTCACCAAGGTTATCTTCCTTGTAGTAGAGCAGTATTTCTCAACCTCAACACCTTGGACTTCGTTTCCCAGAATTCTCTATCCACTTAGTACTAAGTCACATCTGATTTGGCACGCTGTTAGGATATTGAATTTAGTAGATGGAACACTAAAGTGCACAATAGGCCAGAACACACAGTTGCAATTGATTGGTTGAAGAGTGCTGACTCATGCATGAGACAATCTACGCTATGATTGATTGCCGTAAGCATAAAGGGGGCGTTTCCCTTTTTCCCCGCCTTTTTCTCTTCAGTGTGTTCTATATACTGTTTAATTTACCTCATGATTGTTCCAAAGGTGCTTTTTCAGGAGGCCACTGGACTTCCTTGTTTTTCTTTGAAGACGTTTTGCTTCTCATCCAAGAAGCTTCTTCAGCCCTGACTGGATGGTGGGGAATGGCAGGATTTATATTCCGTGCAGACAGCTGGTCATTTGCATTCTTTTAGTGAATTGTTGTAGTGACCCTGAGGACACAGGTGAACCTCCAAATGGTTTCAACGACTCTCTAAAAGAATGCAAATGACCAGTAGTCTGCAAGGAATATAAAACCTTCCATTCCCCACCATCCAGTCAGGGCTGAAGAAACTTCTTGGATGAGAAGCGAAATGCCTTCAAAGGAAAACAAGAAAGTCCAGTTGCCTCCTGAAAAAGTATCTTGGGACAGCCATGACCTCGGTGACTGAGAATCTCCACAGACATTTACCTCATGATGTTCCTGTGTTCTTGACTATCTTGTATTTTCTGGTTTTGGATGATGACAAAACTACAAGTTTTTGTTAGTGTCTCTGACTTTATCTGGACAGCTGCACAATTCCCTGACACAGGCTCAGAATTCAATAGCCCAAATGCAAGAAAGCTAATTGTTATCTACAAGCTATAGTAACTCAGGAGGACGCAGTAGGTCACCCCCAATTATATGTAAACTAAAGATCCGGTACCTGAGAATCCAAGTCTTCTCCTTTCATGCAAAAATTTGCATCAATGACATTGAGGCCCACTAAAAGTCCAGCGATTATAGCACCTTCTTCCTCCATCATGAGGGCATTTGGTTCGTAAAATTCACTGCAAAACATATTGAAATATAAATTGTTACATCATCATCATTAATCATCGCACAGTCTGCCAGATGTTCAGCCTGGATTTGGAATTTTTATTTATTTTATTATTATTATTATTAGGCATACACAGTCTACGTAAGTAGAAGTAAAACGTCTATGGGAGTATGGCAGTGGCCTCATAACTGACTATCCAATTCAGTCTCTGGCGTTGCTTCATGCAGCTCTTCTAGGGAACCAGAGAACACACGTCATGGGGAATCTTGCACAATACGCTTAACAGTTTGCGTATCAACACCTCAATCGCAACAAGGGGACTTTTTCCATCCCCGAGGCACTTCTTCCAGTATCACACCTAATTCTGTTCAATTTCAAATAGACAAAGCAAACCAGGTGGTTTGGTAGAGGGATCACTAATGGTCAGGCCACAAGTCAAGAAAGTACCTTGGACCATTTGTCTCTCCAGGCATCGTCGGGGTTAAACTGAGTAGTTGTTAAGTAAATAGCTGTTTACATAATGGCAAGTTCTTTTACATACACACTCTTTACATGTATAGCTGATTTGGCTATGAAGATTCATATCCAGCTTACCTGCCCTCAACCTTCTGAGGACATGAGAAGTTTATACACAGCAAAACAACCTGGTGCTCACACACCCTTTGGGTTCTACATTACCTAAGTTCACTTTATTATTATTAAATAAGCTCACCCATCACTTCATTTTAGAATGGAATCTCTATGGCGGGACCCCTTCATCTATCATTTTTCAATCATTCGCCTGAAGCCACAAGGCATGCAATCAACGTAGGGCAACGGGCAACAGGGGGTCTTCACCTCTAAGTGGGCATGGCCCCCATTTTCCAGCCACCTTGAGCAGCAGGATCTGAAGAAGAGTTTTAGCTGCATTCTTTTACCTTAGCCATGTTTTACGGGAACTATATTATGCAAGCTAGAATTCCTATTCTGTTGTCCAAGGTTAGAATATTTCAACCTGGCAATTGGAATGACAGAGGAGTCAGGGCCCTCACCATTCAGAGGAACCAAACGGAACTCCAAAGATCCATCAGAGAAACACACATACATGTTTTACTATTATATCAAAGTAAACAAAAGGCATGTGCATAGGTATCATTGCAGTTTATTGTGTGGTATCTCACAGGTTAGAGAGCAAGGATCTGAGTGCACAATGGGTTCGGAAACTGCCAGCTAGGCTGGAAGGAGGAGTCAAGTGAGGGCCAAGCTTGGAATCATTGCACGGTTGCAAGTGGCATTTAGCTTGACTCCCTCAAGATCCATGAAGCCTTATCTGGTTGCTCCCAGGGGAAGGCAAGCAGTCTGGGAAGATTCTTGTAACGTAAGTGGTAAACAATAAAGTTACTGACTTTGGCTACTTATGAGAGTCTACGGTTGCTTGCTCCTGACATGATGTATTTTAACAAGTCCCCCAAAGGGAATTTTTTAAATTTCCTCCTCTTAAAAATTTTAGAACGGTGAAAATAACAGTATGTATGTAGTATGGAAAGACTGCTTAAAAGAGAGCAACTGGTTTATGTCATGGATGCCAGTTTACAGGGATTTCCATTCAAGGATGAACCAAGTTCTTACCTGAGAATTTCCCGTCTGTTTATCAAGGCTTTCATGTACTCTGAAAGTTTCTTCTGCATTAATGCCAGACGCAGCCAGGCTCTTCCCCTTCCCACGGGAGTCCTACCAAGTCCCAAAGACAAATGATAAATGTTGTTACACATAAGGTGGCATGTCATCTAAGTGCCGAATTCTGCACACAAACTCAACAATAAAAGTGGGCGACTATTTTTCCCCCTCCAATTAGAAAAAAGTAAATAAAAGAAGGGTGCGGTGGCTGAGAAGAGGGAAGCAGTGTATCCTAATGCACAGGGTGAAAAACTGACTTGAGTGTGAATTTTATTTGAAGTATTTTTTCCAATCATACTCTTAGAAGTGTTATAACTTGATTAAGAATCAGTTAGCAGTGGCTGTGTGGTTAAGACGTTAGGCTTGTTGACTGGGAGGTTGGCAGTTTGGGGCATAAGGACTGCATGATGGATTGATCTCCCATTACTTGACCCAGCTCCTATCAACTTAGCAGTTCAAAAGCATGCAAACGAAAGTAGATGAATAGGTACCACTTTGGTGGGAAGATAACAAGGTTCCTTGTGCCTTAACTTATAGTCATGCTGGCCACATGGCCACAGAAGCGTCTTTGGACAACACTGCCTCCTTTGGCTAAGATAAGGAGATGAGTACCACCCTCTAGAATCAGACATGACTGGACAGGCAAAGCCTTTACCTTTTTTTTAACCTCAAATACAGGTAGTCCTTGGTCTATGACTGATATTTTGCATAAAGAGCAAAGCATATCCAACACAACCTTCTACTTCTAAAATGGAGTTGTTATAGACCAATGATGGCGAACCTTTTAGAGACCGAGTGCCCAAAAACCACACCGCCCCCCTGGCCTGCCCCCACCCCTGCTCCGCCCCCACTCTGCCCTGCCCCGCCTGCCCGCGGGGCCACCCACCGCCTCCACGGCCTGCCGCAGATCGCCCAGGGGCCCAGCAGTGCCATGGCGGCCACACCTTCCGCCCATGCCCCGCAGCATCAGCTGCGCACAACGGGGCGTGAGGGCGGAGTCTTGTCCCTGCTGCCTGGCTGCCATGTGCTTGGCTGCGCTGCTCTGTGCGGGCCGCGCCCCGGGGCGACTCTCCTCTGGGGTGGCTGCTGGTGAGGAGGGGGCTGCAGGAGGAGGCGGGGCTGGGGTGATGGCGCGTGTGCCCACAGAGAGGGCTCCGAGTGCCGCCTTTGGCACGCGTGCCATAGGTTTGCCACCACTGTTATAGACTCCTGAATGAGTCTTTAATGAATAGAGTTACTGCTTTACAGAATTTCTAACAAAAACCTGACCAGCATGTTGTTGAAAGAACAGAAGAAGTAAGAACACTTACTTTAGCCCAGGCAAATCTTTAACGCTTGCTGTGATTTCTCCAGCTTCAGGAACAAACTTCTCCACCAATTCCAGAGGTCCCCAAAATGACTTATTTTGGCCCAGAAAAGTCTTCTTGGCTAAACAGAAACATTTTTTGTTTCTAATATATCTGAATTGGCATTTCAAGTCATTTGGAATAGTGGCATTGCATTAGAAATTCAAACACTATGTTTTATAATAATAATGATGATGATGATGATGATGATGATGATGATGATGATGATGATGATGATGATGATAATAATAATAATAATAATAATAATAATAATAATAATAATAATAATAATAATAATAAAAGTTGGAAGGGACCTTGGAGGCCATCTAGTCCAACCCCCTGCTCAGGCAGGAAACCCTGGCCTATACCATTTCAGACAAATGGCTGTCCAGTTTCTTCTTAAAAACTTCCAGTGTTGGAGCATTCACCGCTTCTGGAGGCAGGTTGTTCCACTGGTTAATTGTTCTAACTGTCAGGAAGTTTCTCCTTAGTTCTAGGTTGCTTCTCTTCTTGATTAGTTTCCATCCATTGCTTCTTGTCCTGCCTTCAGGTGCTTTGGAGAATAGCTTGACTCCCTCTTCTTTGGGGCAGACCCTGAGATATTGGAACACTGCTATCCTGTCCCCCCTCGTCCTTCTCTTTGTTAAACTAGATATACCCAATTCCAGAACCGTTCCTTATATGTTTTAGCCTCCAGTCCCCTAATCATCTTTGTTGCTCTTCTCTGGACTCTTTCTAAAGTCTCAACATCTTTTTTACATCGTGGTGATCAAAACTGGATGCAGTATTCCAAGTGTGGCCTTACCAAGGCCTTGTAAAGTGGTATTAATACTTCACGTGATCTTGATTCTGTCCCTCTATTAATGCAGCCTAGCACTGTGTTGGCTTTTTTGGCAGCTGCAGCACACGGCTGGCTCATATTTAAGGGATTGTCCACTAGGACTTTTAAAAGCTCTCAATACTGTATCTTAATCCAGCCTTCCCCAATCATATCTCCCAAATATTTGTGCAATAGAATTCTGATTAATTGCAGTTATGGCTTTAATTCCAATGGAAGGGCTTGCCTTCAGAACTTGTGGGTGCTCCATCACTGGAGGTTTTTAAGAAGAGATTGGACAGTCATTTGTCTGAAATGGTATGGAGTCTCCTGCTTGAGCAGGGGGCTGGACTAGTTATTTGTTTGTTTGTTTGTTTATTAAACTTATCTCTACCTGGAGGAGATTCTAGGCAGTTCATAATTATAAAAACCACAAGCTGAAACATGAAAACAATAAATATTAACACTAACATTGATTTAAAATATTGGTTCTTCCCCATTCATTTAATAACGTTCCCGTCTTGTTCATTCAAAACTATACATTAAATGTTTTAGTAGATTCCATAAGTCAATAAATTGATTTTGTAGGCTTATGATTCTTATTCTACTGGGGTAGACCACCAAATCCGGTCCTGGATTTTGGATATGAAGATGTATTGAGGGAAACCTGGAAATAAGGTCTACTATATGTGTGGAAAACTGCCCACTACCAAAAAATGAAAAAATATATTCATGGACTTTACTGATTAAAAGCCATGCTCTAAAAGTGGACTATCCCTTTAAACCAGGAGTCTCCAAGCTTGGCAACTTTCAGACTTGTGGACTTCAACTCCCAGAATTCTTGCATACCTGGCTGAGGAATTCTGAGAGTTGAGGTCCACATGTCTTAAAGTTGAGCATGGCTGGCTGAGGAATTCTGGGAGTTGAAGTCCACAAGGCTTAAAGTTGAGCATGGCTGGCTGAGGCATTCTGGGAGTTGAAGTCCACAAGTCTTAAACTTGCCAAGTTTGGAGACCCCTGGTTTAAACAATCTCTTTACTTAAGAAAACTACTTAGGAAAGAAAACATACTGCCCTATCTACTAGTTTATTCCAGTTTGAGAATTTGGATATAATCCCCAGAGGAGATCTTCTGTCAATTTATACCCACCTTTTAAGCCATGTTTAAGGCAGTGCTCCATGACTACAAAGAACTGCTGGAGAGGTGCATAGTCGGAGTCCAAGGTTCTCCCAAGATTCAGAGCGGATTCGATCAAGCCCTTTATGCTTAGTTTCGCCATATTCATCAGATTCATGCGTTCATTGGCCATGACATAGTTGGGATCTGTAACAGAACATATGTACAAGATTCAATAAGAAGCAGGATCATAATTTCATTAAGTGAAAAAACTTAAGAAAACACAGAGATAATAGCTGGAAGATCTAAAGGAGCAGGTGAGGCCAGATCATTGTGGAAATTCTCCATCTAATGTGATCGCTAAGCGTTGAGACTTACTTGATGGAACATCAATATAAAGAACATTGCATATTGTATTGTATTATATCATTAAGAATGACAACTGTCATATCTACCAAGAAATAGTTCAAGAATGGTTAAAGTTAAAAATGATGCTTGCAGAAATCAGGCAAAAGTTTAAGGCAGACTTCCCAAAAGACTGAATTGAACTAACTCTCCCAAATTTCCACCTGGTGGTAGAAGACAATTATATATACAGCTAGACCTCGACTTACGACCACAACGGAGCCCAAAATTTCCGTTGCTAAGCTAAGCAGTTGTTAAGTGACTCACATCCTATTTTACGACCTTTTTGCCACGGTTCTTAAGCGAATCACTGCAATTGTTAAATGAATCACATGGTCATTGCTTTGCGAATGACAATCCCAGGATCTGGGACCCTGCAACCACTGTAAATAAAAAGCTTGCTGGCTGTGGAATTCTGGGAGTTGAAGTCCACACATCTTAATTCTGAGAGTTGAAATCCGCACATTTTGAAATGACCAAGTTTGAGGAAAAACTGCTGTGGGAAGTCAGTCCCCCAGAGAAGGAAATATTAAAAGGGCAGAAAAATATATTTCCTCAAAGGATCTTAAAGAGGCAGAAAAGCATGCCCAGTTTTCTTAATAGCCCCAAGTCTCCCTCCCCCAAGCAGAAACCAGCCCTGTAGAAATGCAGATGTAAACTATTCAGGAAGGTTGAAGCTAGAAGCTTAAGAAGACAAAGACACCTAAAATTTACATACCCCACCCTAAGTCTAAGACACGACATAATAGAATTAATTCACAGATGCCAAAGGGACACAGGTCAAAATACATGACACAGGAAATACAAAGCCTCAAAACAGGAACAGGAAACAACTCCAAACAAAAGGCTCCAGAGGGTATAAAAACCCACTCCCTACATGTGCTCAGTCCTTTTTTCCCCCTCTTTCTTCCAGAGCCATCTTTCTGTCTGGCTCTCCTCTTCAATAAACTGCAACCTTCTTTCTAAAGCAGTCGCCATGTTTATTCCCAGCTTGGACTGAACCACAACGAAGACTTTTCTTTCAAGACAAATGTTGCATGCATACTTACACGTGGTCTGAAGCGTCTTTTGGCTTTTCAACCTCTACCGCTGCACAACCCCACTAAGTATTATTATTAAGTCTCCCTGGCAAACCTAATTTGCAAACCTATTTACAAAGACAATGTGTGTTGCATTCAAGACAAGGGCTGAGATTGAACAGTTCCATAATGGAAACCGCGAACCAAGAACAGCATAATTAATCTAATATATGCAAAGGAGTGTGATTGTCTAAGGAATTAGCTAATGCTGTAGAAGATTCTTCTGCCTCTAAGAATGATTATTTGCATTGCAAATCATGCATGAATCAAGAGTACATTTAATCAAGCTGCATAACACTTGTTTTACACTTGGAGCAGGTTCTGCTGGCAGAATCTCCATAGGCGAGGCAACCTTAATGGGTGGGCATGGCTGGCTGGAGAATTCTGGGAGTTGAAGTCCACAGGTCTTAAAGTTGCCAAGGTTGGATAACCCTATCGTAGACTAAACGCTTTGTCAATTTACATGCCTACCTCCCATTTAATAATAATAATGATAAAGTTGGAAGGGACCTCGGAGGTCATCTAGTCCAACCTCCTGCTCAGGCAGGAAACCCTATACCATTTCGGTATAGGTATAATTTGTTTTAATTGTGTCCCTTGTGAATAAACTTTGCTCCTGTGGTTAGCAGAGGGAACAAAATCACTGAGCACTGCACACATTTTTTTTTAAAAAAAGTCTTAAAACTTGCATGACAAAACAGAAAGTCCCAAAGCTTGAGTTTAAAGACTTTAATAGTAGTAGTAGTAGTAGTAGTAGTAGTAGTAGTAGTAGTAGTAGTAGTAGTAGTAAAGTTGGAAGGGACCTTGGAGGTCATCTAGTCCAACCCCCTGCTCAGGCAGGAAACCCTANGTTGGAGCATTCACCGCTTCTGGAGGCAGGTTGTTCCACTGGTTAATTGTTCTAACTGTCAGGAGTTTCTCCTTAGACAAATCAATAAAGTAAATATTTCCTCACTAAACAGAATTCTTTCCTCCCGTGAAAAATGGTATGAAGACAATACAGGAGCTGGAATTGAGTTTGTTTCCAAAGGAATACAGATATTTTTTTTACTAAACCCAATTTCCAAGCCACCAGCCTATGGATAGTGTCTTTTAAGACCATCCCTCAATTTAGAAAATGTAACTCATATTGTACTTTCACACTTAAAATGGACTCCATGCTGATGGCACTTATAAAAAATTGCAATATGCAAAGAACCTTTGCTTTTCTAGTTACCAGTTGTTCTCAACATATGACACATGAGCCTTGCTATACAATCATAAATCTTGCAGGTCATTAAGCAGATCATCACGATTGACCCAATTTTATGACATTTTTTGCGGTGGTTATTAAACGAATCATAGTAACTGCGAGAGGGATTTTGAAGCCCTAGTGGACAATCATTTACATATGAGTCAGCCGTGTGCTGCAGCTGCCAAAAAAGCCAACACAGTGCTAGGCTGCATTAACAGAGGGATAGAATCAAGATCACGTGAAGTGTTAATACCACTTTACAATGCCTTAGTAAGGCCACACTTGGAATACGGCATCCAGTTTTGGTCACCACGATGTAAAAAAGATGTTGAGATTCTAGAAAGAATGCGGAGAAGAGCAACAAAGATGATTAGGGGACTGGAGGCTAAAACATATAAGGAACGGTTCCTGGAATTGGGTATATCTAGTTTAATGAAGAGAAGAACGAGGGGGGACATGATAGCAGTGCTCCAATATCTCAGGGGCTGCCACAAAGAAGAGGGAGTCAAGCTGTTCTCCAAAGCGCCTGAAGGCAGGACAAGAAGCAACGGATGGAAACGAATCAAGGAGAGAAACAACCTAGAACTAAGGAGAAATTTCCTGACAGGTAGGACAATTAATAAGTGCAACAACTTGCCTCCAGAAGTTGTAAATGCTCCAATTTGGAAGTTTTTAAGAAGAGACTGGACAACCATTTGAATGGATATAGGGTTTCCTACCTGAGCAGGAGGTTAGACTAGACCGGGGGTCCCCAACCCCCGGTCCGTGGACCAGTACTGGGCCGCAGCATGCCCGCAACTGGTCCGCACAAACAAGGAAAGCCCTATTCACAGCATGCAGGCAGCACACAAAACCACACCCCCTCTGGTCCACGGAAAAACGTCTTTCCACGTAACCGGTCCCTGGTGCTCAAGAGGTTGCGGACCTCTGGACTAGAAGACCTCCAAGGTCCCTTCCAACTCTTGTTATTCTGTTAATTTGCCATTGTTAAGCAAACCTATTATTCACAATGGGTGGTTGTTTGCTGGATGTAAATGCCAGTTGCAAATTGCAGTCATGTAACAACGGGACCCTGCAAATGGATATAAGTGCCTGTTCTGGTTTTGAATAATTAAAATAGCCCATCTCTTTTTCCAGATTCACACAGCTGCTTTTGAAGTTGTTCCTGGCTGCCTTCAGACACCTGTGAAGACACAGCCATCTCACACATGTGAAAATAGAGGGGTGGGGCTTTTGAAGATGGCTGAACATGCCTGGAAAACGATACAATTGCTGTAACCACTTCTAACCATTCTTGTCAACAGGAGAGAATATGTGTAGCTCAGCATTGAACTGTGGGTTCTTTGGTGCTCTCTAGGCTGTGTAGTTTTCTTGCAGACATTTCATGACCCAACTAGGTAACATCATCAGTGTTAGAAGGGTTTTATGGAGAGGAGGACGAGGAGGAGGAGGAGGACGAGGAGGAAGAGGAGGAGGAGGAGGAGAAGGAGGAATGTGGGTTCTTTGGTGCTCTCTGGGCTTGGCGGTTTTCTTGCAGACATTTCATGACCCAACTAGGTAACATCATCAGTGCTAGAAGGGAGTGGGTTTTATGGAGAGGAGGAGGAGGAGGAGGAGGAATGTGGAGTCCTTGGTGCTCTCTGGGCTTGGTGGTTTTCTTGCAGACATTTCATGACCCAACTAGGTAACATCATCAGTGTTAGAAGGGAGTGGGTTTTATGGAGAGGAGGAGGAGGAGAAGGAGGAAAAGTGCTTTATTCTTGTTCTCACACCTTCCAAACAATTCCAAATCCACCACTTTCCCTTAAATTGAGACTAAAACAAGGAGTATTTTGACAAATGCAGTCCCAATCCCAAATTTGTAAGAACTGATTAGTAACGGATGAGATGCTGAAGTAAAATCGTGGCCATTTTTCATATTTTCGTCAGCCCAAAGGGGACCACGTGTTTTTCTCATGACCGCAATTAAATTAGATCATGATAGATCAAGCTTTACTATTTCTGAGATAATGAAAATCTTTTGAAGCCAGGCCTTTCTGATGTAAATGTGGGAGACAAATGTGGGAAGACAAAAGCCACTCAATTACATTATTAAATATAAATCCACAAAGCCGAAAGCTTACAGTTTTCTGTCATAATATCAAGATTTTTATCCATTTCTGCTTTCTTGCCTAGAAGCGCGGCACAAAAATTCCCCAACCGCGACCAGATGCTGTTTCATTTGTTTACATCCTTTCCACACTGAATTGTGGCATATCACACACAGGCTGCATTTACATCACACACACAAACACAAATCAGCCAATCACATTTGAGCCTGTTGTTTTGGCAGGAGCTAGCTAATATATAATTACTTTATTATTCCAACCATTTGTGAAACCTAACTGCGATCTTGCTAACCATTGGTGTACATACAGGGTGAGTAAGACCACAAGTTACAAACAGAATAATAACAGGGGACCCTATACCATTTCAGATAAATGGTTGTC